CCCCCCCTCTCATGTGCTCTCTCTCTCTCTCAAATAAATAAATAAAATCTTTAAAAAAAAAAAAGAGTAACAAACGTATTTAACTATATTAAAAATACAGAAACAACATAATCACATTGAAGGAATTAGGGAAGGAAAGAACGAACCTTAGCAGCTTTGGAAAATAGCATTTTGCCTCTATATTGAAAGGCTAAAGACAAAAGGAACTATGGACAAATACGGTACTCTAGCAAATTTGCTGTTTATAGTTATATAGGTTAGCAATTCTGAAACTGCTTTATGTGTATTCCAGAATTAAACACAGAAGGAAACATACTGTGGATAAGAAGAGCCGTGTGTCTCACAGTCAGAGAAATAGTTATAGATAGGGAAAAAGGAAAGGCAGGAATGGACCCTGGGGTGTTGGATTCAGAAGTAACAGCAGGAAATCATGGTTTAAAAAAAATATATGGATTGGTTGATATAGAAATGGACATAGAAATATGTGTATCCATAAATATATTTCCTGCTTTCACCACTGGAAAGGGCTAGAGCAATGACATCCTAATAGACCCAGTACCTTGAAGAGACTGTCCCCAAGCGCCCCTTGAATAACTGGGGATGGAAGCCTCTGTATCTTGCTACCTTCTCCCCTCTCCTAGTGGATAATTCTGAGTGATGATTCTGAGTGGACGGCGCTGTGCTGAGCACAGTGGGTGATATTTCAGGACCCAGATGTCTACAAGACTTTAAACGCTAGTGGGAGAGAAAACACAAGTAGTCAAATGATTTATTTCTGATAAAAACGAGTGGTTGTTTATCTCTGATAAAAATGAGTGCTTCACAGACATGTCATCTCATGCTGAGGAAGCAGACTCAGAGAGCTTAGGTACTAATGTCTTGCTGCAAAGACAACTTGGTAAGCGCAGTAAGAGAGCCTGCCGTGTTAAGAGATTGACAAGAGGTCAGAGGCACAGATGTGTGATGGACAAGTCCTTGGAATAGATGACAGGTTGGAGGGGGTGGACAAGGAGGCAGGACACAGCCTCAAGGACATGATTGATGAGCAGACACCAGTTGTTTCCACACAGGAAAGTGAGCTGTGGACACGATGTTAGGAGCTTTTGTCACTTTCTCATTGACTTTTGAAGAGTCCCATAAAAGGTTCCAAAACCCTGTTTCTGTGAAGTTAGGAATGTTGCCACCAGGAGGCAGCAGCATACAGGGTTACATTTTCTAGCAGACAACTAGAAGAGCGGAAGAAAAGCCATTAGAATCCCTTTCTACAGAAAATCAAATCACATATAAATCTCTGTCATTATCATTAAAGCTGATACTTTTGTGCACACTGAGGCAGAGAGAGCGTGAACACCCCAGGCTTAGAGGAGGAGGCTGTGCTGAGATACAGGTTGAGTTCAGGCAAACAGGACTTGAAGTCCCAGCTCTGCCTTTGATTAACTATGTGATCACGGGGAAATTAAATCAGCTTCTAAGGTTGTTACAATGGTTAAATGAAATATGTGCCTGGTCCAAGGTCGGTAAGTGAGAGTTGTAGTTAGATCTTCTATAGATCTTCCAGTTTCCCTCTAACAATTTCTTTCTTAAAGAAATGTTTCTAAAGAAACATTAAATCATGCATATGAAATTGGAAACTCTTTGGGTTTGTGCATAGCTCAAAGGCTTCAAGGTATATTCATGACAAAGTTCCGGTAACTTCTCTCATGCCCGCTACAACTTTACCTAGGGAATCATTTTGTAAGCTGGCCTCTTTCATCACATGCTTCTAGAAGGCTCCAATCTAGAAACTAGTAAAGGGTCTATAGAAGGCATTAAGTGTGTCATTTCCTTGATTAAAACAAATTAATGGCTCCTTACTGCTTAAGGAATAAAGTCCATGGTACTTAGCATGGCATATGAGGTCCACCTCACCATCCAGTCATGCCCGTGTAGACACTTAATACTGTGCTCCAGGAGTTTGATCCAGATGCTCCACAGTGTGCTCCATTAGTATGAGGCTTAATAATAAATAGTTTGATGGAATAGAAGTTAAAATACTGTGGATACTGAATCCATGCTGCTTTAATATAGTTTTGTAGAATCAAGAGTATTCCTGTTTTAGCATTATAGTCCTTTCCATTGCAACAGAATTCTGAGGAGAAAATAATTTCCAGAGCCAACTGGCATGATAAGGACTGTGCAGACCCAGTGCAGGTCCTTTGGGTGGGTCTTGGCTTGTGAGGAGCCATGTTGAGAAGTGGTCTTGTGGCCACATTGGTCACAGTGTTCTCTGACTTCATGACACAAACTGCACTTCTGGGTGCCATTGCTCAGGCTTTGCTTCTGCCTCCAGTGGCTTTTCCCACTTTCCTTACTTTCTCATCTACCAACCAGGAAGATCCTAACTCAAATTACCTCTTCTCTGAAGGCCTTTCCATCCCCCCAGGAGCTATCACTTCTTGCTTCTGCTTGCTTTATTAATACTGTTCTTTTTTTAAAAAAGATTTTATTTATTTATTTGAGAGAGAGAGCAGAGCAAGAGAGAGAGAGAGAGAGAGAGAGCACACGATCCGGGTTGGGTGGGGCAGGGGGAGAGAGAGAGAAGCAGACTCCCTGCTGAGCAGGGAGCCTGACTCAGGGGGCTCAATCCCAGGACCGTGGGATAAAAATCTGAGCCAAAGGCAGATGCTTAGCCAACTGAACCACCCAGACGACCCAATACTGTTCTTAATCATTCTTATTCATTCAACACACATTTGGATGCTAGAGTGATCACATCATCTCATAATTAGATTATATATCAGTCATTAGGCAGGATGCTGACTGTGCATACAAGGACCATTTCTGAATTTTCTTTGTACTCCCAGAGCTTAAGTGCAGAGGTAAGCACAGAGTAGATATTCCATAAATGTTGGCTAATTGTGAACTAAGAAATTGAAAATAAAGATCAGAGTGTCATGGACCATGAGAATCACATCAGAAGACTATAGATGGGTCTGATGAGAGGAACAGGAAGGAAAAGGGGAAGAAGGAGTGGAGAGTCTACTGTAAATCTCCAAAAAGCACATGGACTTTGGAGCCAAAGAACAAATTGTTCCATTGTTCTGGCAGAAGTTGCCAGCACCCATTTCCCAGTAGATGTGGGCACCAGGATCCTTTGTCCCCAGTGAATTTCACATTTGTTATCACATCCTAATCTTTGGATTCCATCAGCAAAGCCACTAATCACTTTTTAAATTGACTGCAGAGTGGATATTAAAGGCCGTAATTCTTGCCAGGAGGACAAACAAACAGAATCCATGGATATGTAGGGGCACAAGTTGGTTCAAGGCTAAGAAGCCCACGTGCCTACAGGTGAAAAGTTCAGGGAGATCGGGGTATAAAAGAGAGACGCAATCTCGCTCTGTGTGTCCCAACCCTTGAGTGTGCCACTGTGTCCTGGTATGTCTGTGGGCCACTAAAATCAGCACCATGAAGATCCTGGTCTTGGTCTTGATTTGTCTACACCTCTCAGAGGGTGTGGAAAGGTGTGTATGGGGATTCAGTTTCACTGTGAATTTCAGCCCTAAGGGAGCATCACAAGCTAGGGTAAAGCAAAGGCCTTCCCCTGCAGATCTCATGGAAAGGCAGGCAGATTGTGTCTTGGTACATGAACCCAAAAACCACAGGGACCCTAGACTTGAAATGGATGATGATGATGATGATGATGATGATGATGATGATGACGCTGTGTGTATGTGTGTGTGTGTATTAGTAAAGGTGGGTTGGTGTTTTGTTAGCCAAGAAGGAAGGATGTACAATATCTATAAAGCTTAGAGGAGGGACTGGGAAGGAACAGGTATTTATTCTGTGGAAAGAGTGTATGTAAGCAGGAAACCCCAAATATATGTTATAGTGGATTTTCAGGCTGGAAATGCTGAAGTGACTGCAGAACTTGCTAAAATCCAGAAGGATTTCTTACAAGAGGCTCTTCTTGGGTAGAAGTAGGTTTAAAGACGCCAGATCAGATCACTGAAGTGATTTCTTTAATGGGGAAGGTGAAGCTCACTCCTTTTGTTTGCCCTAATCTCTGCAGAATCATTCTGAAGAAAGGCAAGTCCATCCGCCAGGTGATGGAAGAGCAGGGTGTATTAGAGACATTCCTGAAGAACCACCCAAAGGTTGATCCAGCCGCCAAGTATCTTTACAATAATGATGCTGTTGCTTATGAACCCTTCACCAACTACCTGGATGTAAGTGAAAGGGGAGGTGGTATCCATAACCCTTGGCTAATAACCATTCTTGGATACTTACTTAGACCTCTCATCAGCTCTGATTTTGGACTTTTTACTAAACCTAAGTCTCACCTTCCTATGGAAAGTCTCTGGATAAGTTATGAGTTGGTACCACTTAACACTATTGTATTCCCTTTCCTTCCTTCTTCTCATTACTGGCTCATTCTCTGAAGTTCCATTTATGTGGTTAAGAGATCCACAGTGACCATATTCAAGTCAATTGAGAGAGCCAAAGGAAGTCCCAGTGATGGGCTGCAGGGGAAAGAAGGATAGCACATGCCAAGCTGCCAGGCAAAATCTCCAGTGGCTCCAGATGACATAGATCTCCCCGTTTGGAAACATACACTGGTACTCAGAGCAAGTATTTGAGTGTTCTTGAGGCTGCAGTGTCTGCTCAGGGCATCTCAACACACTGGTGTCCTATGGACTGTCCTTAGTGAGATGTTACATGAGTGTCAGATCTAGAAGCCACCCTAGGCATCTCCTATTTCGACTTCCACTTTCTATAGATGGTGGAAGGAGAGGCAGGTAAGTGACATGACTGGCCCGAATTCACTTAGAACTTAAACTGTGTCTCAGTGAAGTTCTCTTCTTGCTTTCCATGCTACTTCTCATTACTAAACCAAAGTCTCACCTTCCTATGGATTTCCTAGCACCTTAGCTACTGTGTGACCAGAGGGAGGGGAATGGTGGGCAAATATCTAACACTGGAAGAAAAAGAAGGATGTGTGTGTGTGTGTTTATGTGCGTGTGTGTGTGTGTTTGTGTGTGTGTGTGATGTGGGGAGGGGTTTGGGCACTGGGAATGGAGAAAAGGTGATTGCTTTTCCAAGTGTGCATGTTCTGGCATAGCATGGTAAATCCATGGTGTTATCACCTGATACAAAGTGGAAAATGCTTTGGAAGAAGAGACTGGCTTGCCAGACCAATTCTCACCTAGTCAAAGTCTTGCAATTAGGGACAAAAATGGGCAATATCGAGGGGATCTGGCTCTAGATGTGAAGGAG